TGCACCTCTCACATGCTACCCCCAATTTTAACAGTCTTAAAAATTAGCAGTTGCTAACAATCCAGCAAAAAGCTAAGTAAAACAATAGCAATTGTTTATTTGCCTGTCAGACAGTTTGGACAATGAAAGTTTGACTAGTTTCACTTATTTTGTTTCTGTACACTAGGAATAAAGCTGCATTGTTTGAAACTGGAACAAAAGGAATTCTGAACTTCTAGAATTTTTACATTAAAAATCACTGAATACTTAGCACCAATTTTAGGCTTTGTAAAGCTTCCAAGCACCACTGCTGCCCTCCCTCCACCTTCTCCCCATATAGTTTTAATTTAGTAAGGAAATTAAATGAGGGGGAAAAAAAAACCAAACAGGAAAAGCTGCATCGTGATAGCTTAGTTTATTTTTTGTGACATACACTAGTCAAGCCTAAAACGTTATCAAGCTGAAACAGCTCCATGATCCTACAAGGTAGGAGGCTCCTTAGTTAACATAAGTGAAAGCGACTTTATCAAGCTCTGCAGTTCAGCTTTGGCAATACTATATAAGGACCTGTTTGCCACATCTTAAAAATCTCCAAAAGAAAATACTTATAAAAAAGTTGTGAATATTACAAGCTGTTCCCTGAGCATTTCACCAGTCGAAGAACTGTTCTGAACATGCAGAATCTTGCAGATAAGGTAGCCTATGTTTAGTCAGGCTGTCCAATGTCACTGAGCAAGAACGAACCTGTTAGATAAAACTAAAAAAAAAAAATATATATTTATAAAATTTCAACAGTAGTAGTATCTCAATTATTCTCTTTGTATTACAAAAAAAGATATAACCTGCTGCCATTTCAAGAAGGGCTATCAAAACACACCAAACATTTTTTGTAAGGTCCTCTTCTGCTGAAGAATATAGCCTAAAACTTTGATAAAAAGACAGTTTTGCTACCACTGCACATTATGTAAATAATTTCTGATTTAAAGATACAAAACCAGAATGCCATGTTTAATATTATGTCATGTATCCATGCCAACCTGGCTCTCTCCCTCCCTCCATTTTAGCTTTGGTACAAAGAAGCAAAACAAAAAAAAAAAAAAAAAAAAGAAAGATTCTAAAACACATGTCAAGCAACCTGCTCTCCATTTCCCCTAAGAAAAATAATGGTAGAATCCTAAACAATGAAAAGGCTTTTGATTTTTAGGTCTGTGAGTTACACGCTGTAACACTGTATACCTAAAGTACTTATTTAAAAATCGTAGTGAACTACAGTATCACAACTTAGCCCAAATCAAACATCACAATCAACTAGGCACTGCTATTTCCAAGCCCTTCGGACATCTGGCCCCTGTGGCACACCCAACCTGCAAACTTAGGTTTTAATGCTTGGCCTGGGACACTAATGTAGTTAAGCAACTCTTATTCTCCTTTTATTGGAAGGATTTTTCCCCACTGGCTTTCTGAGGAATGCACCTCACTTGAAGTACACTGGAAGCCATCTACAGTATCATACACATTCTGAAGTTGTAGAGAAAAGAGCGATATGTCCCCCAAATTCTCTGGCTGTCTAAACTGTGAGCTATTATCAACCTAAAAATTTCACATCTCCATTTGCAGCCTCTCACAACAGAGCTGTAAGGGCTGCTAACCCCCAGTCCCACACAACAGGATTCTCTGGATATCCAGATGGGTTCTGCTCATCTCGCAGCTTTTGGCTCCAGAAGGCAACCTGGGCAACAACAAAAAAGAAAAAAACCCAACCAACTCAATCCCTTCTGGTCCTTTCCAAGTCACCAGCCAATCAAAGAGTAAAACGCTAATTACTGAACTCGCCCATCCTTACATGCTTTAACCTCAAGACTAGTAGTTAACATTGCATTTAAATGTACAAAGTTGACTTTTGATTTTCGTGAAAACAATTCCAATCCTGTAAAAAACCATATCAGTTTTTCAAACACTGGTTACCTCTCTAAAGTCAAAGCTCGTAAGGACACGAGGTACAGGTTCAGGATACTGTGGGATTCAACTCTACCTCAAAACCTCTCTTATGACTGTTTTATCAAGTTTACAGTAGTCAGGATGCACAGTCTAAAAATGTGAAATTCAGAAGTTCTTAAAGAAGCTAAACAATACAATGATCTGGCATGAAATCAGCTTTCAGACTAAATGGTTGGAGGTGATAATTTAACCAGTAGTGAAAGTTTTTAAGAAGTAAAAACCCAGAAGAGATAAGGACAGTATCTGAGCACTGAACCCTTCCTTAGTTTTGGCCTGGGAGTCAGTTCTAGGTGTATCTCAAGGCACAAGAAATGCATTAACCCTATCTGCTGCTTACTTCAATGGCTTTCAGTGTAGCTATCAGCCAGTTCCGACACCAAAGAACTTGCCTGGACAACAAGACAAACTGCCCACATTTTATTTTTAAAGACTAAGATTGCATTCAAATATAACATATCATGCCAATAAGGAAGATATAGAAAAACAATCCAAATGTCATACTATTACACAACTTTTGCCATAGTAAATTCTTTGCTTTACATCGTCAACTTGAGTTTTTCAATTTAGGGCAGAAAAAAAAGCTTGCAAGACATTCATCTATGTATTTAAATCATTTTAATCCAGACACAACCTATGTATTCTAAAGGCAAACAGTCTATCACTGAGTTAATTCTTAACTCTAGAGCAAGTAAAAAAAAAAAAAAAAGAATTTTTTAGCATGAACAAATGACACAATCTAAAGTTATCTAATACATCAATACAACCTTTTTTTTTAAGCATTTAAAGGATCGGCCTCATCTCTAACAGGTATCAAACATCTACAACCAGCTTACAAGCACCTGGAAGAAAGTACAAGAGTTCTAATTTATACCCTCAAACGCAGCGTGGAACCTGGCCAGCTAAAAATATTAACGAAACAACCGAAAAAAAAAAATAGAAGAAAAACCCACAAGGCCTCTTCCCCTTCAGACTGCAGGGGCATTTTTATGTTAAACAATTACTCACCCTAGCAACCTCTGTTGGAGGTGCGCTCGTTAAGAGCCGCTGGACTTTGAGGCCGGGTCTGCGGCCGCGGCGTTCGGCCGTGGGGGGGGCGCTGGTAAGGACCCGCTGGACTTTGAGGCCGGGTCTGCGGCCGCGGCGTTCGGCCCCACCGCCGGCTCCCCGGCGGCTGCGGGGCCCCGGGAGGGCTCGGCCCGGAGGGAGGCGGCG